AAATTGTAGCACAGTTGGAAAAGTTTGTAGTTAAACAAACAAGAAAAAAATATACAAGTGTATAACTAAGAAGAAACAGTCACAAAATATGGTGAAAATTAGATATGAATAGTGTAGTACATAAAAATACACACCTTTTTCAAGAATTTCATTTTATTAAATTTCAATTCTCAACATCTGATTATTATTCAACAAATTGTTTCTTGAGTTATTGTTTTGGAAATCGTATAAGTCATTAGTAATTAAACATTGGAACTACAATGAAAATGTGAAAGTGCCATTCATTCCATGGATTGTAATTTTTGGATTCCATGGATTGTAATTTTTTTATTTACTCTCTTCTCTCTCTCTCTCTCTCTCTCTCTCTCTCTCTCTCTCTCTCCTCTCTCCTCTCTCCCTCTCCTCCTCCCTCTCCCCCCTCTCTCCTCCCCTCTCTCCCCCTCTCTCCCCTCTCTCTCTCCCCCTCTCTCTCTCCTCTTCCCTCTCACCCCCTCTCCCTCTCTCCCCTTCTCTCTCTCTCCCCCTCTCTCTTCTTTTTCTTTCTTTTCTTTCTTCCTGAAGGGCATACCTATTCTGTTTATTAGGTCTTGGGGAAACACGCCATAAAAGTGGACCATGCATTTCTTTTTATGTGAAGGATACATAAATTAATAGATTCTTGGTAATACAAAATATTACCATTGGAATGCAATTAGACCCATGAACTAATTTTTCAAAATTACAAGAGATTAAAATCATTGTTTGTTGCCCAAAACAACAAGAAATTTTGAAACATTTGGACTTACTAGCATGGAAACTTCAAATAATAAAGACACCAGCCATGAAAACCCACATTGTGTATAAATTATGGTTTACAAGTACACAGCTACAATGGATAAAATATTTTTTTAATGTATATTATCCCACATTCACATCCATAATCACGATACAGTTATTAAGAACATATTCAATTAAATTATTAATAGTTGTATTATTTGTTGTTAATAGTTGTTGTAAAAGTAGTTATTGTATTCTTTCACAATTACTAATTTCTTTTTTAATTTTATCTTACATTGATTTAATATTTTGATGCACAGTGCTCAAGCTCAAAGGTCAAGTGATGTCTGTGATGTACCGCTTCCGAGCCAAGAGCCGTGACTGGGTGTGGCTACGCACATCTGCCTTTGCATTTCTCAACCCATACACAGATGAGGTTGAGTACATTGTGTGTACCAACACAAGTGCCAAGTGAGTACATATCTTAAATTTGTTTTAGAGTATTATTGTATAAAATTAGTTTCTGTTAATTTCTTCAAATATTTATCTTTCTGTGTATTTTTCTATTAATATTTGTGATGTTTCCAAACTTAAAAATAAATAACTGATGTATGAATAAGAACTGAATGTAAATCAGAGTTGGTCGTAATCAATTACATTTGTAATAAATTCCACATAAAATTACTTAGTGAGAAATCACAATGTAATCTTATTACTACTTTAGTAAACATGAATACTCATCCTGGGTGATTTCTTCATAGTTTGCATTTCTTTTTTAATCTGATTTCTTTGAAATCAGGATTGCATGTAATTGTTATTTATGATTACTTTTATTAACTTCTTTTATTCCTCTTGAACATTTCATTTGTAAAATTGTGAAGTGAGTACTCTGATGGTGTGTGTCATTTTCTCTCCCCTTCTTTTCTTCTCTTTTTTCTTCTCCCTCTCGCCCTCTCCCTCCCTCCCCCTCTCTGTCCCTCTCCTTCTTTTTTTATTCTAGTTCTTTTCAAATTCCATATTGTGGTTCTTAACATCCCATAATGTCCTTTGTGGCTTCAAACACATTCAGAAGAAATATATTTCATTCAGAATTATCAGTTATAATGTATACGAAGAACATAAAAGACTTTGGTCTTAATTTCAACATCAGTAATTCAAACTGTAATCAAACCACACTATGATTAAAAATTACTGTAATTGTAATCTCTGATGATTACAAATTACTTGTAATCGTCATTGTTATTACTCATAATTCCAGTTGTAAATATGTAGCCATAGTTTGTGAAAGATAGGTAGAAGATAGTTGATTACAATTTGAAAAAAGATAACCAGGAATCAATTACTCTTTACTTCATTGTAAATGAACTTGAATGCTCATATGTGTTCTATATTTCAAGTGATACCCTTTGTATTTGTCTCTGAGGTTAGAAAAGGAGGTTTTTAATTCCGTACTTTGTTTTCTTTTAACTTTTTTAGTAGCCTCATGTGTGTTTGATTTATTTTATTTGACTATATAAATGTGTTATCAATTATTTAATTAAATTCTTTTAATTAATTCTATTGCCAATCTGAGTAGCCAAAATCACTTGGGTAATAGTGTTGTGGAGGTCTTGGTTCAAAGAATCCTGGGTTCGAATCACGCTTCAGGCATGGATGTATTTGTGATCATCTATTCACCCCTGATCATCATCATCCTATCACTTCATTAAAGAAGTATTAGTATTTATAATTCCCTGCTGAAGCAGGCCTTTGCCCTTAATGGGATGTGCAGTTGGCTAAAAAAAAAAATAAAATAAAATAAAAAAAAAATCAACCTTTAGATAATCATGTAGATATTTTTGTTAAATATTGTTGTTATTGAAGTGAAAGAATTTTTGTATCTTCCTAGGGTTTGTTCAATACAAATTGTTTTAACAATGTTCTGTTCATTTCTGGTTAAGAACATGAATTTCTTAATTTTACCTGAACTTAATTTAATAGGTTTTGCAGCTAATTGTGAAGTTACTGAGATACTTAATACACACGTCACTTCTTGTTAATTAACATCAGGGATCAGAAAATCATTTTTTAACCACAAATATTTATTCTGTCATCACTTCGTCATTCAAAAAATGCCGCAAGTAACTTCTGACAGTTCTGCTGTTGTAAGAACAAGAAATTAAATAGTTACTTAGGAAGTTTGTTTTGGAGATGTTAATTGTGTATGAGTCAGATTATGTTGGCTTATGCCATTTTCTGGTTTCTTGGCTTGTCATCTACATTAGAATTCCAGTTCAATGAATTACTTATTAGAGGTTCAAATAAATGACACAAGAATTCAAAAAAATGCAGAGAATAATAGGAACAGAACCTACTGGTCCAATGAAGTGCTTGAAACATTTAATAATTCTTTATTGCAAAAATTCAATGTCGCAGGTGGGCTTTTTAAATAAAGAAATAGAGGGTGGTGGTGCAATTCTGGTTTCAGATTCGGATTCGGTGCATCTAAATGCACTGAGGAACATGTGTGAAGTCTTTGGGTCTGACAACTTTGCGCATGTGCTTGTGTTATTGTACTGGATTAAATGATAATGAGTGTTGAGGAAGAAGCGTACTGAAAACAACAGCTAATACAGATAATTTCAGTAAATGAATTAAAGATGTAATAATAATGGTGTTTTCAACAATTTGAGATGGAGATTGATGTACATTGACAGCTTTTTTTCGGAATAGAACATAAAATTTCCATTTGCAATCATGGAAAATTAATTAAATTACAAAGCACAATTTATTTACTATATAAAATTTTATTGATAAGTATAAATTAACATGCAGGAAAATAATAATAAAGGGGAATGTGTCTCATAAATTAGAAAAAATATTTTTTGAACCAGAGCTGCTGATAATGGAGTGCTTGCTTACTGATGTTTTTTGACATTACGTGATATGAAATTCAAGGGTTTCACCTACAACAAAGCGGGGGGGGTCTACAGCAAAGCGATGCGGCGATGTGTGTGTAATGGTCAGCGTATCGGACTGTTATACCCGGTACACATAGCTGGTACACACGGTAAAAAAAAAAATCGGCCAATTTAATCCTACTTTTCAAACGTGAGTCTGCCACTCAGGTCCCTGCGAAATTTTGGAGCAAGTGCTCAATCTAGAGAGTAAACGCTTAACTTTATTCATACCAATTATGAGCATTTGCTCGCCAGTTGAGAGTACGCTCAGAGATGGAAGAAGTGCTCAGAGACTAAGCAATTGCTCACCCACTTTATTCATACGAAACTGAGAAAAGTCTCCGAAACACGGAGCAAAGAGAGATTGCTTACTTTTATTCATACCACCATATAAGTCTTTTTCTAGCGAAAATTCGCCGTTTTCCGTCACACGTTACATAACTTTGTAGAAACAAAGAATTCGTAAGGAGATAATGTAAAAATGCTATGATCTTGCGTAGTAACCACCCTCCTGCATGTGGTAAAAATAAGTAGGCTGGTGGTTGGTAGACACAAGAATACATTGCAAAAAATGCCCTGAGGAATGCTTAATAAAAGCCAAATGTTGGTAATTTAAAGAATTGTTGTTTTCTTTGTGTGTTCTAAACTCGAGAGATTTCCTTAAGAATGAAGGTCAAGAGGGATAGCTCTGTTATCCATAACATATTGAGAAGCAGTCAAGTTAATGTAAGTTGATAGATAATTGCTCTACATTAACACATTATAGATGAGTGTTTGTGTATGAAGCAGGCAAGGTGAAATTAACGAAGAGGTCATGTAAACAGATAACATCAGAATCACTACCATTTTTCTTGTAGTCCTAAGACATTGCAGAGTAATGTTAATATAGACACTGTACATTGAGGTAGGGAGGGAGATAAATGAAAACTAAACAAAGTTTACTGAGAAAAGTTCTTTTTGTTTTGAATAGTTTGTGTCAAAATAAATACACTCAACTAACTTATGTGAAGAAATCTTTGGTTTTAAATGTTGGGGAATAGTAAAATGGATATGCTTGCAATATACCTGGAAGCAATGATGCTTTGCATTGCAAAAGTTGGGAACTGTTGGATAAATGAAAGCAAATATGAATGGTTTTAACACTACAGTCCTATAATCCTGTATCCAATAATCTCTTATCTCGACAACTGTACGTGGCTTCCTCTTCGGGAGTGTTTGAGGACGTGTGGTTGCACCTGTCGCAGGTCGCTCCACGCGCAGCCGGACAGCAGCGCGGCAGATCCGGCCGAGCAAGTGTACTCGCAGCCGGGGCTGGACTACAGCCTGCAGCGGCGCGACGCCGTCTACCCGCACATGATCTCGTCGGCGGCGGCGCACCTGCAGAGCGGGCAGGCGGCGGCGGCGGCTGCGGCGGCGGCCGCGGCGGCGGCGGCGGCGGCGCAGCGGCCGAGCAGTGCGCAGAACGTGTACGCGAGCTACGGCGACCCGGGCACCCACTCGCCCATCGCGTACGGCTCCCCGGGCGCGGGCCAGCAGCAGCAGGGCGGCGGCGGCGGCGGCGCGGGACCCGGCGGCTCCGTGCTCAGCCGCATCGGCAAGGCCACCACCACCAGCCCCACGCCCGCGCAGACTGCGTGGAGCCTCCGCCAGGTGGGCGTTACCAACGACCAATACATTTAGGATGGGGATATGTTGTAGATATCGACAACTCAAAGAACAGAAGCATAGTGCAGTACTTAATGCTGACATTAGTGAACAATAGCCTGATGAAAACATGCCGCTAGAGATAGTCTTGATTGTAGATTTTTGACAATTGATTTTTACATGGCAAATGCAATTTTGAAAGAAGACTTGGATCCACCGCATGAGTTTTCACGTAATTCCAAAGTACTCGTGTTTGTGGAATAGCCTTTATCAAATGTTTTGCAGTAATCTAGGTAAATGAAATCAGTTGGAGTAGCTTTATCCTAGGCTTTCAACCAGTTACATTCATTATTGTGCTATCGGCAGTCTGTGAAGCTCTTGCTTGAATTTACTGTTGCAACTGTAGTAGTGGTATATCTTTGAAGATTTAAAATATAACTTGTTTCTAGTTTTATAACTATACATAACAATAAAATTGTTTTAAATGTAAGGCATACGTTGTTTCTTACATTGTTACTTTTGTTAACTTCCCTTAGATTGAATATAAAAAATGTTAACAGAGCAATTTTTGTGAAAACTTTATTGGTTAATTTTTGTGGAATTGCAGGTAATTTGGCTTACCTTTGGCCATGATTTATCAAGAGCTAACATAAAATGTTTTGTCAGGTAGTTTGTAAATAATTTTGAGCGACAAGTTAAATATAATTGGGATCTACAACCGATTGTCTAGCGCCTGGTGTGAAAGTACAATATGTTATCCGTTATACATCGACGCTGTGCGGCACCCAAAACCTTTTCCGGTTATGTTCGTATAGTTTACCATATTAAAGAAAGGGAATCATCTCAATTATTATGGATAACAAAAGAATGTCTTTTAGATTATCTGCGGGGTTTATATACTTACTGATTACGTCAGATTGGGTAGAGCCATCTTAAGAGCGCCTTGTCAAGAAGTCGCCAAGAAATCTTATGCTACTAGTCAACCATTTCACTTTTTAATAATTATGTTCTTTTGCTTCATCTCACACACTTTAGTGTTTAAAACGTACGATTGCACGTTATGCAAACTACCATATAATTAATGTTTTCTGATGTTTCGGGTCAATTCTGATTTACCCTTCCCTCCACTTCTGCATGTCTTTGTGAAAGTATATGTATTGTTTGGTGGTCATGTAATTTTAGAACATGTATTATAAGTTAAGATTTAAGTTCCGCATCAATCAGTTTAGCTTTTGAGACGTGCGAGCTGAGTGATGTTTATTTCACTTCCGCAGCAGCCCGTGACGGAGGGTTACCAGTACAGTCAGCTGAGCCCCAGTCGGTCGCCCAGCGGCCCCACGTACACGCAGCTGAGCGGCGGGGCGCGTGCGGCCGCGTCGGCGTACCATGCACCCACGTCAGCGGCGGGCGGCGCGGGCATGTGGGCGTGGGGCCAGAGCGCGGGCGGCGGCGCTGGCGACGGCGGCGGCGCGGGCGGCCCCGGCGCGGGTGCGCAC